AAAGTTTTATTCTACTAACTGTGGAAGGAACAAAGAAAAAAAGGAAAACAGGACTGAACAATATCTGCATTATCCCATGCAATATCCCATGGGGTAACCAACTAACCTTCTTGAGCACTCTTGCTATCTATAAAAACCAAGAGTAACTCTGGTGATATAGTGTGTAATGTATGACATTTCAAATCTCAAGTTTGGCATCTTTACTCTGCCAATTGCTCTGTGGGAAGAGATGGACAGTCTTCTACAATGATTCACATTCTCAGAAACCTGATGGAGGGTCACAATCATTTGAATTTACTCAACAACAATGGGTTTGAGTTTAAGGAATATAGGGAAACAACAGCAACAATGTATATTAAAGTGCTAATGATGTATTGTTGTAAAGTTAACATGAGTCTGACTCATAGTGATCCTGTGAACAACAGATATGAACCCTATCCTCGACTGTGCCATCCTCATAATTTCTGACATATTTGAACCCATTGCTGTGGTCACTGTGTTAACCCATTTCATTTAAAGTCTTCCTCTTTTTTGCTGACCCTCCAACTTTCCCAGGATGGTGGCCCATTTCAAGGAACAGCCTCTAACAATGTGCTCGAAGTATGTAAGACAAAGTTTCTCCATTCTTGTCTCTAAGGAAGACTTTTCCCAAGACAAATCTGTTTGTTATTTTGGCAGTCAGTGGCATATTCAGTACAGTTCTCCAACTCAAAGGAGTCAATTCTTCCGCCCTTTTCCATTTTCAGATACATAGCAAGTGACTGAAAATACCATGGCCTGTATCAGCTGCTCCTTAATTTCTAAAATGACGTCTTTGCTCTTCAGGAATTTGGAGAGGTCCATTATGGAGGACTTGTCCAATGTATTACTGCAGATCTCCTGACAGCTGGTATGATGAATAATGATTGTGGATCCAAATAAGGTGAAATCATTGACAATTGCAACCTTTTCTCCACCTATGACAATGTTGTTTACAGATCCAGTGCTGAAGAATTTTTTGTCTTCTTGATGTTGACAGGCAATTCATATTGAGCACTGTAGTCTTTGATCTTATACAGCAAGCGTTTCAAATCTTCACATTGAGCCAGCAAAGTTGTGTCATTTGCACAATGGAGGTTTTGATGAGTCTTCTCATTCTGGGTTAACATTCTTTTCCATAAGCCTAGCTTCTTAAATTATTTGCTCAGTATACAAATTTAATAGATATAGAGAAAGGACACACTCCTAACACGTACCTTTTCTTATTTTGTAGTCTTTTTGCTGTTACTATAGTTACAGATAGGTTGCGTATGAATGGAAAGTAGAAAGAAAATGATGATTCAAAGGTATTCAAGATTTTCTATTATAAATCTTGTATTTCAAATTTTAGTGTCTGCTTTTTCTTTATATATTTTTAAAAAATACCTACTGTCCTTCCACTGTGAATGGTTATTATGCCCTCCTGACTGTCTGGTCAGTGTGTGTTTGCTTTTCCAAATCAAACTCTTGATTATTTCCTCTTTAACACTTCTTTATTCCTGCAGTCTTTACACATAAATTCTTCTGGCATCCATATTCATTGTCAGCTCTCAGATGCAAAATAAGTGATTGAAAAGACCACGGCTTGACTCAAGAGCACTTTAGTCTTCAAATCAACCTCATTGCTCTTCAGTATTTTGGAAAAGTTCCTGACAGTAGACTTGCCCAAAGTCTCCTGACTGCTAGTATCAAAGTATTGAGTATGGATCCAAGTAAGATAAACTAATTGAGAGTTTCAGCCCTTTCTCCTTCTATCATGATGTTGCCCATTGGCCCAATGGTTTCTTCATAGTGAGATATAATCCATATTAAATCTTTGATATTCCGCTGTGTTTCAGGTCCTTCTCACTTTCAGCAAGCTAGGTTATGTCATCTGTATAAAGTAGGTTGTTGATGAGTCTACCTTCTGATCCTGAAGCCACATTCTTCTTCATAGAGTCTGGTTTCACAAATTATTTGCTCAGCATACAGACTGAACAGAATATATAGAAAGTATACAGCCCTGAAGCATACCCTTCTGGGGTGTGTATTATGAAAAACTGTTTGCCAAGTAGTAAGGATTTATGATGCAATCTTGAAAACCTTCAGTTTAATTCCATCATCTGTTTCATGGTAGAAAGATAGGCAGTCTCCTTTAATGTGATATACAGCCTCTGAGAAGCCATTGGAAGGTCAACTATGAGTCTGTTTTGATTCATGGCAAACAACAACAACCTATAGTACTAGTAAAATCTGCTAGGGCTAAATGTGAACAGTAATAGAATTGACTCTATTACTTCTAAAAAATGTGTTGGGCAATCTCCTTCCATGCAGTTTCTTAAAACTCACTGGAGAGTCAGCTCTGGGTAGGTTTCTGACTCACTGGGACATAACATCATTACACACACACACACGTATTTCTGTTAGTAGATTTTTCTACTTTATGATTTAAAATTGTACACTAAAAATAAAGACTGATCTAGAATCACCAGCTTTATATTTGTGTACAGATATAACAAAATAAATAATTACCATTGAATGATACCATTCTTTCAAAAAGGAAAAACATTAATATTACAATACAATTTCAGGATTAAAACAAGGATGAATACATTGAACTTTGTATAAAAGCAATTAATATTGTCCTTTCATTTTTTTGATAGATATGACAATTCTCCACTTGTAAGGATGAAGAAATTGAAGAGCATAGAGTTTAAATGATTCTCCCCTCACATAGGGTAGAAGCAGGCTTCAACTTGGTCTACTAGTCTCTGTTGTTATTGTTAGATGCTATCGACTATGACTCATAATCACCTTATAAACAACAGATAGAAGCCTTTTCATTCACATGATGGTAGCTCAAAATACTGCCATTTAGCGCTCACTGGAATACCCAGGGCTCTTCTCAGCCACATTACTTCTAAGACACATATAGTTATATTATTTGATTTTTACTGAAAAAGATAAATTTATAATACTTCTTCCTATCCAGGATTTTAAACCTAGCTAGGCAGCTAGCTTTTCTGCCTAAAAACGGTGTGGCTACCAGTAAGTCTTTTTGAGTTTCAACTGTTGCACCTCTAATAAGAAATTTTGGAGGATTAAGTGGATGTTGTTGTTGTTGTGTACCGTACAGTTGGAACTGACCTGCAGCTGAGCCTCTGGTGGGTTTTCAGAGGCAGTAATTGCACGGGAGGAGGATAGTATATATAAAATATCTGGCAAAGGGTTTATACTCTAGAAGTGTGATTTAACGAATGCTAATTTACCTAGTGAGATAAAAATGAAATTTTAAAATTAAAAGCATATCAAATATTAGTGATAGGATGAGAGCAAATAGATCATTGCTCGAGCAGATAAAGATGCTCTATATTTACATAATTCTTTCGAGAGTTATGAGGATTATCCCTGCCACAGCCTTTATTTTAATTAACAGCAAAGTGATCAAACTTTCAGCATAGGAAGAAGTTTATATTTAATTTATACCACAGATGCACATTTGCAGCCTCTAAACATTCCTTTCCTTGGCTAAAGATGTAACAAGCTACTTCAGCAAACCTGAAATTGCAAAAGAAAGAAATGGAAACTGCTTAATCATTTAAAAAGAAATACCAAAGGAATGAAAAGGCCAAAATATGCACGTGTGCCAGTGAGGAAAGTTAGCGGGCAAGGTGTCTTCTCTACTTTTTAAAAGGCTGACAAATGGCTTCATCAGATAGGCAAGATATAAAACTAAAATAGTTCTTGTCTACTAATTTTTACACATAAACATATGTAGCAACAGTGCCCACATCTATATGTAACATCATTTTTGCCAATATTGTTCACTGAAGAAAGAAATTTCAAAAAAATAAATTGTGTGAAAGAATGTCAAGTTTCATCTGTATCTGAAGGTGTGCAGCTTTTTGTTTCTTGAGCTTCTACATTATTGGATACAGTAAATATATTATGTTGGAGCAAAAATATTTAAAAATCTATGTGCCATTAATTATGTAATTTATTTATAACTAGAAATGGATTACTATAATATAGGCTATTATATATATACAGAGAGAGAGAGAGAGAAACTATTTGTAGGTGATGATGTAAGTAAGCTGATAGCTCTTCTCTACATACTATTAGAGCTATTAGATCCCAGTTAGTATAATAAAACCTGATTTTTAAAAAAATGTGCTGGCTAAATCTGGCTTTATAGTGTGTGACTTGTGTTGAGTTTTTGCACTGTCACCTTGGGGATTAACAGGATATATTAAATTCAGGATGGGCCAGTCTTTGAAAAAGACATCATGCTAGGAAATGTGGGAGGGTCAGAGAAAGAGAGGAGTACCCTCAACAAGATAGATAGATGCAGTGACTCCAGTAAAGGTCTGGAGCGTGACTGAGGGTTCAAGGATCCTGTGAGGATAGCACAGGACAGAGCAAGGTTCTGAAGTGGTGTTGTTCACAGAGTTGCACCAAACAATAACAACACTAAATGAAAACTATTTGGTGTTTCCTTCACACCTTCCCATTTTACTACGTAGTCATTGCACCACTGGGAGGCCTTTATTGAATTTCAGAATCCACTGCATTGTGAGTGATCAAGAACATGAAATCTAGAGTCAAAAGCCTATTGCTGAATCTTGGCTTTTTCCTTAATCTACTGTGTGATATTTACTATTCCACTTCTCTCTTTTTTACCTCAGTACTAGTTTTCTACCGTCTAGTAAAATAATTGTCTTTAGCACCTAAAGAAAGCTAAAATAGGTTCTGTGTGGAAAGTGTGAATACATCACATATTGACCAATAAGTGAATACAGTATTCCTATTTTTCCAACAAGATTCTCTTTCTTAAATAAGATATTATGACAGATTTTTGCAAGTATTTACAGATTTCCTGTGGAGCAGGACTGTTAAGTTTGTATGACTCCTAGAATCTTTAGTGGCTTCGCAAAGCATTGCATTGAGGTGATTTCTCTTTGGTAGTGATAGCAAAACTCAATTAATGAGCAAACAAATCTGACCTGGTGTAGTCATCTTCAACAAGCATGTGCTTTGGAATTGGTGAGTACCTTCCTGGAGAGATGGGTGGCAGGGAGGTTTTGTATTCTAAAGTGCCATTGTTGCCAGAGAGGAGATGGTTTTCCATCGGTGGAGAATAAGCTATGGGGTAAAAGAGAAGAAGAAACCTTTTATACAGATGACTCACTGTGCTATGTTCAGAGAATGTGTTAAAAATAGAAAGGGTCGGCTACATGCCAAAGATTTGCTGCCCCCCAAGTTAGGGGAACTGCTGTTTGTTTATATTTAATATGTACAAGCACATGGTGACCTTTACAGGAGGAAAGATATAATAACAGTTATATACTAACCCCCATTAGTACAATTAGGTGAAGAGAATAGGAGGAAAGATCCAGCACACACAGTGTCAGAATGATGATTAATTTTCTATTGAAATAAAAATGTTAACTTTCTAATTACAGAACTCACATTCTTTTCACATGATTAATATTCAATTATCAAAACCTCCTAGGGACAAATTCTTCTCCACAACATTCTCTCACAATATGTTATAATATTCCCAGAGGTATTTCTGCAGACCAATAACTCTAGCCACCTCCCCATTTCTTCACTCTAAATCAGACTAATTTTAAAGTACTTAAATACCCCTCAACTGTTTTTTGCCCCTTTCCCAACACATTTTATTAAATAAGATTAATTAAACTCTCCTCAAAACCATTCTAGTAATTCTCTCGCTTACTCTCCACTGCCACTATTGTGTTTAAATACATTCTTAATTCTTTTTATTGTGTTGAATACATTTTTTGATTGATCACAAATCTCCATGACATAGCTACTATGACTATCCAACAAAACCTTTGATTTTCTACCTCTGTGTCTTTGTTCCGCTAAACCAATTTTCTAGAACTCCTGCCAATCTTGGAAGCAATGCATCCAGAATGCTCCTTAGAAAGGAAGGTGTTGAGATTTTTGTCTCACATACTTTGTGCATGTTGTCAGAATGGGTCATTCCCTGGAGAAAAGTATCATGCTTGTTAAGCAGGTCAGTGAAAAAGGAGAAGACCCTCAAAAAGATGTATTAACTTGGTGGATGTAACAAGGGGTTGAACCACAGCAGATATCATGTGGGTGGGGCAGAACCAAGAAATGTTTAGTTCTGTTGTGAATTGGGTTGCTGCTATTTGTTAGAGCTTAACCAATGTCATCTAACAACCACCCTTCACTAACGTTGAAATTGTACCTATTTAAAGTACTCTTCAAATGCTATCTTTTTGCATAGACTTGGTTCTTTTTCCTCATCTTCCAAATAGGGATGATATCTCCTCAACTGAAGTCCCTTGAAGACATTCTTTTTACCTTTCATATAGCATATACCACCCTTTTATTTTGCCACATATTACTGCTATTTATGTATTTTAATTATCTTTAAACCAGGATCTTCAGAACTTATTATTACATAGTCTATTCATCACAAATATAAGGTGTCCAGCACCTACTGAAGTTACTTGATCCATAGTTGTTGAATTAATTTGAATGATTTGTTCTCCTTCCCTGTGTATATGGCATGACCCTTTATGGGTTTCATGGAGTGATTCACAGAATTCAAAGCTGATTTTTAAAAATTCATCAAGTTTGAAGAACTTTGGAAGTTCAAACTCTTACGATTAAAGTACAGCTTAACTTAGCTTGCAGGTTGTTTGAAAGAGAGACATAATTTGAGTGCTAATGGCTTAGAATCATTATTTAGAAGGAAATAGCTAACTTAATGGACATACTACCAAAGTAGTCCACCCTTAAATTTCTCTCAAGGGGAACATCTGAATCTAAGACAGGTTAAATGACTTGTTTAAGACTATGGAACTCATTAATAGCAGGTCTTAAAGCACATTCTGAAGTCTCAGTCCAACAACTTGAGCCTCAAGTTTTCAAAATGAGCAAGCTTACGGATGTTAACAAAACAGTATTTCAAATTAAATCCGAAAAATGATTGCTTTGAAATAAATCCCTAAATATCTAACCTTAAGATTCTTGTTGACTTAGTAATTAGAGGTGGAAACATGAATTTAGGTGGCTGGGAACCTTATGAGTGTCCCAGCAATGTGGATTATAGTTAGTTGTTGACTTACTAGCCTCCATGTCCAGCCCACTCTATAATCATAGTGAGATGTTTACAAAACAGTAAATGTAGGTAAAAGTAAGCTATATGATTATATGATGAAACTGAGGATAATCATTCCCTCAAGTAAGTACAAGATGCCCTTCCTCGGGAAGAACCATGGAACTACCCCTGGTCTCATTTACTAGCCTCTCTTCTCTACTTACCTATCATAGGGATGTGAACTAGAAAGAAAAGATCTTACAGCATGAGATTTTTCATGCTTTAGGGATTTCAGAAATAGCTTTAAAACCATGTTTCTCCAGCACTGTTAGAATTATGCAGCTCCAGTGTATACTATAAGCCCCCAATAATTGCAGATACTCCAATTTATCAATCTGTACCATCTCTAAATCATTAGGATCTGGTAAGACAACAAGAGAGTGAAAGAGAGAATTGGACCGCTGAAGTATTTCCTGGGGCTAAAGAAGGATGAAGGGGCCTGCAGAGAACTGTCAACATTTGGTATAAATACAATTTTGCAAACAGGCTTGCTGGTGGAAGACGGTAGGTACTGCATATGGTACTTACAGTGAGTAATGTCAGGTGGACCATAAGGATCAGTCATGTAAATCGTGGTCGGCTTGCCAACTTTTAGATAAACTACATCTGATGTGTTCTTCAATATTGCTACTGCCTCTTCATGTGTTACTTCTTCTAAACTATAATTGTTTACCTGAAAGGGGGAGGGGGAAAGTCATTATTAGTGCTAAGCCATGTAACTGAAGAGAACTATTTAGGCAAGAATATATTTAGAATTAAGATCTTAATAAAAGCTTAAATTGTAATAATTGCAGTTGAGTCTTTTTTATGATACTTATTAGACCAGGTTGTTTAATGACATTAGCAGGCATAGTTAAAGTGCCATTCAAAAAAGTTGCTTGAGAAACCATATGTCTAGGAATTCAGCAAACCAGTCATGAAAAAAGGACATGAATTGAATGCTTTCTTTTGCCATAGTTTTTTATGATCACATAAGTAAAACATTTATTGAAGAACACCAAAATAAGGAAGAAAAAAATTGTCTATACTCTTTGTACTTGACTATTAATGGAGACACAAACACACATTCCTTACCCATGTTTCTGCATTGTTTTTCTATAAATAGACCATCATACCATGCACATCATTTTGGAACCAATTTTTAAACATTCATTGAACATTTATCCATTCCAGTAATGTACTGCAACACTGATTTGGGTTTTCAAAAGTATGTGTGCATATCTATGATAATTTTTTTACATCTCTTAATAATGCATATATTATTATTTATTATTTGTATCTTATTAGTAAGAGAAATATTATCTCTTACTAACTCATGTGTTAATTAATTACTTTTGTTATGCAGATGACATAATCTTGCTTCCTGAAGGTGAGGAGGACTTCAAGCACTTGCTACAGAAGATCTAAGATTAGATACTTCAATATGTATTGCATCTCAACATCAAGGAAACAAAAATTCTCACCACTTAACCAATAGACAACAACATGATGGATGGCTAAATGTTTAACATTGTCAATTTTTTCATTTTATTTGGGTCGACAATCAACATCCATGGTAGCAATAATCAAGAAAACAAAAGATGTGTTGCATTGGGGAAATTTGCTGTTAATACGTTGCCACAAATGATGGTAATACATCAGAAAAAATGTGTTTCTAAGCACGGTTGTCAATTTAAAACTGTGCGGCCACGTGTTAAGGACATTTTCAATGTACTAAAGAAAAAGGTGATCAGATAAAAGTGTGCTTGATCTAAGCCATGGTATGTTTGTTTTTTCCAATTGTTTCTTATCCATCTGAAAGTTGGACAAGAAATAAATATGATTGGCTTCAATGCTTTTATGTTGTATGATGAAGAAGAGTATTGACTATTCCATTGTCTTTCAAAAGAACAAAGAAATCTATCTTGGAAGAAGTACAACCAGGATGTTTCTTGGAAGCAAAGAAATTTTATCTCCCAAGCTTTGGACATATTCTGAGGAGGGGGAGTCCCTGAAAAAAGACATCATACTGCAAAAGGTGGGAGGTCGATAGATTGTATTCATAACCATTAATAAAAATTAATAACCATTGTATTAATGGTTCCAAGAATGTCAGAGATCATCGGCATAGTGCAGAATAGGGCAAGGTTCTGGTGTGTTGTTCAAAGGGTAGGTATGAGTCATAATTGACTCAAAGGCATTTAGAAACAACTTTCTAGTCTCATGGTGGGCTATGAAGTTAATGGAAAAACAACCAATCAAACCAAAAGCAGAAGAAAAAAGTACTCAGTAGCATAAGACAAAAAGAATGACAAGCCAGTTGATAATGATCCCCAAAACTAGTAACTAAATGGATTCAATGACAAGTGGCACTAATACTCTGTTTCTGTAAAGGAATAATTTTCCTTCCCCAATGGGTATAGAAAGTATATGGCTTATTATATTATCAGTGAAAAAGATGAGAGAAGCATTATATACTTCTTGCTATATTCAAGATGTGCAGTGAAGCAATTCAGAAATATGGCGGCAAAGTATATGTTTTACAGTGACACCTCTAATAGGCTGTTAGATCACCAGGAAAGTGTTTTGACTAGAAAGCAGAGTTGGATAAAATGTTAGTGGTGAAGAGTAGTCCCTGGAGGAATAGTAATGTTTTTTTTTTCCTTTTGTAACTGATGTAGTAAAAGAATCTCATCAATTTTAGCCATGGTAGTTGTTGACAGGTAACACTGAATCAGTTGACTAAAAGTGATTCCATATGTCAGAGTAGACCTTCTCCATAGGATTTTCTAGGCTTTGGTGGCCTAGTGGCAAGAAGCTTTGCTGCAATAGCAAAGGCACACAGTTCGAGGCCACCAGTTGCTCTGTAAGAGAAGGATGAGCAATTTCTTCCCATGCTATTAATTGCCTCTGAAAACCCTCCAGAGGGTCAACTAGGGGTTGGCTTCGACTTTTTGGTACACAACAGCAACAAAAATCTTACTAAGCTCTAAAGATCATCTGTTTCCAGATGAGCATTGAGTTGATTCCAATCAAGAGGCCCTGCTGAGTTGATAAGTCTTAATAGGAGGCAATTGCACATCTTTGTCACAAAAAGTCACCAATATACAGCTCCTAGTTTGTATGTTATTGTTGTTATGTGCTTTGAGTCAAAACTGACTCAAGGCTGACTCTCCTATAGGTTTTCAGTAGCAGTGATCACACAGGAGGAAATTGGTCCTATTTCTTCTGCAGAGCACCTGGTGCATTCGCACTGCATGCCTTTAGGGAGGCAGCACAATTCCTTCAACTAGGCTACACTATGCTACCAGAACCTCTTATTTGTGTAATATGAATGATAATAATACCTGCCTCTAAGATGCCTCACCACTCTCCTCTGGAGCAGTTGGTGAATTTGAACAAACAAGCTTTCAGTTCAATGCTTAATCCACTTGTGTTTGGTACATTAAAATATTTAATTAATGTTAGTTATGATTACTCTCTCTATTATGCCCATCTGGTTTTTTCTTCCCAGAAAACAGAAAATCCTAGTGAAATTTTTCACTGAGCATTTTCCTGTAAACATCTGTGAACTGATGAGTTTAATTAGGCTACTGCTGATGAGGCCTCTATGTGTTTTTTTAAAGCTTCAAAATAGTTGGAGATCTGGACCAAAAAGTGTTCTTTTGTGTTGGAAACTTCAGAATGTTTTCTTTTTTTTGAAAAGTGTATTTGTTTGGGTTAACTATGTGTGTATTTTCCTATGAACTCTTAAGATAAAGGGCTTACAGCTGGAGTCGATTGTGAAGTGAAGGGACATTGCACTGATTTGCTAGTTGTTCTTGCCATTGTTTTCCATTGTCTTCTTTATTTATTTATTTATTTTCCTTCTCTTTTGCATCAAATATCTATCTATAATTGCAGATATTGAGCGACTGGCCTGGTTACAGGAGAGAAAATAAAAAGATCCCTTGTGTTTGAATGAAGCTCTGTTAGTGGGCTGTATTATAGAGAGGAGCCACATGTGAAGCCTGGGTATGTGTTGGAGTCCAAGAAAGAGGCTGGAGGTGAAGTGAAACAGCTCTGCATGGTTTAGAATGAGGAAGATACAGCGGCTGAAGAAAGAGGTGGCTGGGAATTGCAGAAAGGGATATGCAAGTGCTGTGGGAATTCAAGTGAGTGAAAGCAAATGCTGGCATGGTGGTACAAGGGTGAGGGAGGTTCATGGAAAGACCACCCAACCCAGTACCATAAAGTCAATTCTCATTCATAATGAGCCTGTTAGAAAAATTAGAGCTGCCCCATGATAGTGTTTCCAAGACTGTGATCTTTACAGAAGCATATTGCTTTGCCTTTCTCCTTTGGCAAAGTTGGTATATCTGAAGCTGAATGCTTTGACTTTTATGCTACGAGAGCTTTTGTGTGTCTTGAGAAAGTGTAGTAATAAGTAGTAGGGGGCAACATACACATGGGCAGACACTGGCCTTTGCACTGTCCTTCACTAGTATCAACATGGTGGGCAAACTGGGAGATTATTAGGAGTAGTCTAAGTCATTTTTGTCAAGTTGAAACTCACAGCTGACCTTGTACAGTTTTCAGAGGCTAGAACTCACACAAACAAGCAAGGTTGTATCATTTGCATAAGGTAGTCTTCCTCCAATTCTGATGTCACATTCCTCCTCATAAAGCCCTGTTTATTTGGTCTGCATATAGATTGGCATATAGTGTTTCCTTGTTTTGTTTTAAGGACTGCTTCCAAGACCAGGTTCTTCCTTCCTTCCTTCCTTCCTTCCTTCCTTC